CATTTACAACATTCGCGTCCGTGTTGTATCGGATATACAAACTCTCGCCTTCGGCTCGAGTTTGTATATCCGATACAACACGGCCGCTCATGTTGTAAATAGTACATATATATATATATATGGAAAATACAGACATAGACCAAAATAGACACTACTAAAGTAGTACTACAACATGCTGCTCACCGTTTCAATTTTAACAAAACATTTTTCGAAGACATAATTTTGTTCCATATGAATACAAAATAATTCACCACAATCACGCAGGCAAACTTTAAGCTGACTTTAATATTTGCTTTAAAGGTCCCCATAAGTGTAATGCAATGAATATATATACCGCATTTTTCTCAAACTTGCCTCGTTGAGAATATTCCTATGCATAGCGGCCTCCAGTTGTTCTTGCTTGGATGGTGACGCCTGATGAATTAGTACAGTCAATGTATTTTAATACAATTAGAGTGAATGTATTTTAAATACAAAAGAATACAGTAGAACACAATACAATTGAATACAATAGAATACAATAGAGCAGAATACAGTACAGTACAATATAGCACAGTGCAGTGCAGCGCAGTACATTGCAGTACAGTACAGTACAGTACAGTACAGTACAGTACAGTACAGTACAGTACAGTACAGTACAGTACAGTACAGTACAGTACAGTACAGTACAGTACAGTACAGTACAGTACAGTACAGGCAGAACAGCAGGCTCAGCGTTTTTGGCCGTGTAGAACCCACACTTCTCTATGACAGGAAACAGGAAACAACGCCCAAAGATGGAAATTACGAATTCCTCGAGGTTCATACTTGCATGCAAACTTTTAGCGATACCAAATACCGAAACTGAAGGGAGCTACCATCATTGCATGCCACGTCAAATTTGAGCACCACACTCTCGTAAAAAGCGCACATGAACCTGGTGTTAAATAATGTGGCAGCCAAATTGGTACAGTTACGCATGCAGGGTTAAAATATGGCTGCTTCATCTTGAGACAACTCAAATGAGGGGGGGGGGGCAAGGGTATTTACGTGACTCGTGATTAGCAATTATTCGTGCTTCGTGATTTAAAGAAATACCATTCCGTAAATCGTGATTAATATGCGTGCCACGAATCGTGAAGAACTAAAAGGCTAGCTAGAGTCTTGAATTTACCAATATTTTACCCTAACTCGTGAACGTTAACGTTTAAAACTCGGCCCAAATTTAATATCATGGGGG